GTGTGTGTGTGTGTGTGTGTGTGTGTGTGTGTGTGTGTGTGTGTATCTCTCTCTCTCTCTCCCCCCCACTCTTTTTCTCCCTGGGGATCTAATATGGTCTCTAAGAGAGGGTGTAGAGAGAAGAAAAGAGGGTATAACACCTTGGGAAATAGTCACAAGGGGTATGGGTATGATATAGGTAATACAGATGATGCAGCAAAGGAAACTGAGAATAAGTGGATAGACAGGTAGGAGGAGAACCAGGACAGACTTAGTATCATGAAAATGCAGGAGGGAGGAGACACAAAGGTCAGGAAGACTGTGGACTAAGAAATGACTATTAGATATGGCACTTAGATTGTTGGTAACTTTGGAGAGAGCAATTTGAGTTGAGTGATGATGAGATTCTGGAGCCAGATTACAGAAGACTGAGTAATGAAAAGAGGGCAGCGGTAGTCCAGTGGATAGAGCTTGGGGTGAAGAGTCAGGAAGACCTGAGTTCAAATCTGGTCTCAGGCACTAGCTGTGTGACCCTGGGCTAGTCACTTAACCCTGTTTGCTTCAGTTTCTTCATCTGTAAAATGAGCTGGAGAAGGAAATGGCAAACCATTCCAGTATCTTTGCCAAGAAAACCCCAAATGGGGTCACAAAGAGTCAGACACAAGTGAACAACAACAATAAAATGAAAAGAGAGGAAATGGAAGTAATGAGGGTAGGTAGCTTTTTTTTTTTTGGAGGTTTGACAGAGAAAGGGAGGTGAGATATAGAATGATAGATTGAGGTAGGATCTAGTGAAGTTTTTTTTTTTTTTAAGGATTAGGGAGACTTAAGAATGTTTGAAAGCATTGGGGAATGATTGACATGGAAAGGTTAAAGATTTGAGAGCAAAGCTGATGATATGGTAGAAATTTGCTGGTGAAGCTTGGAGGGAATGGGATCAAAGGACCTATAAAGGGGCTGTTCTTGGCAAGGAAAAGGACTACCTCATCGTCAGAGACTAGAGAACAAGAGGAAAGAGTAGGGGATGATGCCAAGGTGTTTTGAGATGAAGACAAAGGGGGAAGAGGGGAGCTGGCCTCAATTTCTAATAAAAATGTGAATTCTTCAGCAGAGAGCTAGTGGGAAGGGGGAAGGGTATGGGAGACTTGAGAGAAGAGAAAATTTGGGAATAGCCAGTTACTTATTAAAGTGAGAGATCTGGTAACTAGCATAAAAATTTTCTTTTTTAAATACATGTTGCTCAGGGAGCAAAGAACGTACCCTCCATGATACTCCTTAATTTCATTCTAGTTTTTCATTCAATTGTGGAAGACCCAGCACTTCCAAAACTCATATGAGGTGACAGAAAAAAAAAACAACAAAACATTGGTATCATGCTACTTCCTGAATGAGCTTGTGGATGGCCAACAGTCTATAGCTTCATTTTTATTCTTTCTCTCCTCTCCTTTCCCCTTTCTCTCGCCTTTTTTCCCTTCCCATTCCTCCCCTTTCTCCTTCCCCCCTTACTCTCTTTCTCCCTCTGTCTCTCCCTCCTCCCCTTCTTTGCTGCCCCCCCCACCCATGTACAGGAGAAGAGGTACCACCATGGTAACTGGTTATTTCTTCCCCAGTCTTTAGCTAAGGACCTGACAGAAGCCGAAGGCCAGTATGCTCATGCCCTCCAGGGTCACTTGCACAATGTGGATGAGCTCCTAGAGCTCCAGAGAAGCCGCCTGGCCTACCTTGAGGAGTGCTACGGCGAAGAACTAGAAGCTCTCACCAAGGAATTTGAGACCGAAAGGTAGAGGCCTAGGGAGGGGGCTGGGTGGCAGAGGTTTGGGGCTGGAGGGGAGTGGACAGAGAGACAGAGAGGATGTGAAGGGGTAGAAATATAGAGGAGCTGAGGCCGAGAGTGGCCTGTGAACAGGTGGTGGGAGTCCTGGGGGGCCCCAGCACAATTCCTAGAAGTTTCTGGGCCAGACCAAATCAGGAGGCTCTGCTGAATTAATCAAAGATGTTGCTGACATCCCTTCTGCTTTCTTTTCACTTTTGAGCTTCAGTCAACGCAAGATTGTTTGTGTGCAAGGCGCCACGTTAGGCACTGGGGATACAAAGAGAAAAAAAATGATACAGTCCTGTCTTCAAGAAGTTTACAATCTAAATAAGAGGGTAAGATAGGATGCTCTGAGGCCGAAACAAAGCAACAAATGCTATAGTGTAAGTTAGAATGTTGTGAGTGCAGAGCAAGAGTCAAACTGAGAATCATGAGAGATTCAAGGAGGAAAGTGTCACTTCTAGATGTGGGGATCAGTAAGACTTCAAGGAAGAGAGGAGAGGAAGGAAGGAAAGAAACAAGCCTTTATTAAGACCTACTATGTGCCAGGCACTTTGCTAAGGGCTTTACAAATATTATTTCATTTGCTCCTCACAGCAACCCTGGAAGGTAGGTGCTGTTATTATCCCCAGGGTTATGCAGCTAAGTATGTGTCTGAAGCTACATTTGAACTTGGGTCTTCTGGACTCTAGTCCCAGCTCTGGCTGCCAAGGGACAGAACCCAAGGTATTTCTTACATTGAGGAAGAAGAGAGACCAGTGAAGGCGAATAAGGAGTAATTAGAGCCTATAGAAGGACTAGTAGAGAGCAGGGCCACAGAAATCAGGGTTTCCAAACTTAGCTGTGTCCCCTTTGTTTGTTGCAAAAGAATTGTGGGACCCCAACTTTCCATAAAACAATTTGCATGAATGATTTTCTTAGCTTATATTTTATTCAAATAAAATTGAGAACGTATACATTTTATGACAAATAACCCATATGTACAGTAAACATAATGTAACCTAATTTCTTTATTGATAACTTCACATATTTTCCTCTTTCTAACGTATAAAAATAATAGCCAGACTAAGATTATTAATGTGATAAGTAGACTTGTTTTTTAGTGCAAAGTTTCTCAAAACAAGGCACGATAAAACTGAAAACACAAATTAGCTTTGAAGAATGATTCAGAGCACATTCCAGCTGAATGTGGACACTCCGGGTATGGAGCACCATAGTTAATGGCAGACTTCCCTGATGTGTTGGTCAGTTTTGCTGAACTGTGGTTTTTACTCTTTGGGTTCTCTGGAAGGAAAACTCCTTTTTACCCATAGCCAAAACATAAAGTGCTTGTTTTAATGTCCTTTTCATAAGTCTATATTAACTCTTCTTGTTCCAGTAGATAAGACTAGAATGTATCATATTCGTTTGTGGACAGGATAGGCATAAGGGCTATCCCTAGGACTTCGCTGATATGGGAGAGTTTTAGGTGAAGAAACTCCCCCTCTACCTTTGCAATTTATGCCTAAAAGATTTGCTTAGAGAACTGAGAGGTTGTCACATGCTCAGGACAACTTAGCCAACATATTTCAGAGGCAAGACTTGAACCCAGGTCTTCCAGGCTTCAAGGTCTGCTTTCTATTGGAATGACTCTGGAGGAGAGAGTGAGGCTGATGACTTTGCAGAGCCCTGCCTCACTTAAATCCAATTCACCTTCCTGATGTCACTGGTCCTTTTTTTTTGGAGTATCTTACTCCTCAAATCCAAGTATCCAGTCCTAACCTCTCTCCTAACCTCCAGACTCCGATCTCCAACTGCCTATTGGACATCTTGAACTAGACATCCTGTAGACATCTTACACGCAACATGTCCCAAACTAGTATCTTCCTTTATTGTTATCCTTCCTCCCCATCAAGCCTTCCTCTCTTCCGAATATCTCTATTAATGTCAAGGGCACCACAATCTTCCCAGTCACACAGGCTCACGATATAGGCGTCATTCTCAACTCCTCACTCTCACTTCCCCCGCATCCGATCTGTTTCCAAGTCCTGTCCATTTTACCCCCTTCTCTCTTCTGACACTTCCTCTACCCTGCAGGCCCTTATTACTTTACATGTAGATCATTGCCATGGCCTGATGGTTGATCTCTCCATCCCAGTACATCCTCCACTTAGCTGTCAAATCAATCTTCCTAAGGTGCATGTTTAACCACGTCAGTCCCCTGTTCCATAAATTCTAATAGTTCCCTGTCACCTCAAGGAACAAATATAAAATCACCTGTCTTGCATTCAAAGCCCTTCCCCCCTCCTACCTTTCCAGTCTTGTAGCGTACTTTGCAATCTGGTGACACTGGCATTCCGTGCTGTGCCTCACACAAGATACTCCTCTCCTGACTCCAGGCATTTGCACTGGCTATTTCCCATGCCTAGAATTCTCTCCCTCTTTATCGCTTACCTGTTAGCATCCCTGCTCTTTTCAAGTCCCAGCTCAAATCCTATTTTCCACAAGAAGTCTTTCCCAGTCCTCCTGTGGATATCTGCATTTTGTCCTGTCTATAGCTTATTTGTCCATAGTTATTTACAAGTTGCGTCCTCCTTAGACTGTGAGCTCCTTGAGAGCAGGGTCTGGTTTTTTTGTTTGTTTGTTTGTTTTTTTTGCTTTACTTTGTATCTTCAGTGCTTAGCATAGTGCCTTAGCACAGAGTAGGTACTTAAATCCCTATTGGCTGCTTGTTGACCAGCTGGTAGCTGCTAAATCTTGAAAGACCCTGACTGTGGTTCCTTAGTACCTTAGTTCTTTTTTTCTGGCTGCTTGTAGTAGTTTTCCTTTGACCTAGAAGGTCTGGATTTTGGCTATGATGTTCCTGGGAGTTTTCATTTTGGGGTTTCTTTTAGGAGGTAATTGGCAGATTCTTTCTATTTTCATTTTGCCTTTAGTGATTTTTTG